ATTAACGCACACTTATTCTTAAATTACTGGTTCTTATCATTACTGCAGCTGAAATCAAAAGACACTAAATGAGCTATTACGACATCAAGGAGCATTTTTACCAGACCTAATTCGTGTGATGCCTTCCGATTTCAGAGAATAGGGCATAGCTGGCATACTCAAGTCAGACCTCTTTGGTTTTTCTGCCCGTCTTGAGTCAGGGGACTGTAACTTGCTCCTGTTCAGAAGACAGTCTTCCACTACCCGATGAGACCAGAGCTCAGAAACAAACAGAAGATGCTCCTCTGCCACTAATTTATAAAAGACGCCCAGAGAAAAATATAACTGAACCAAGCTTAAGAAGAATCATCGTTATTTTAAAAGGGAAGAACTATAAAGAAAATTGAAGAGGTAATAATCAAAGGGGTTAACACAAAAAATTGAGGCCATTGGCTCCTGATATAATCAAATTTTGTAATAATTGACGGTTTATCAATTATTAAAGTGTGTTTAAAAAAACAAATAGTTTGACAAACAATTTGCCTACATAAATGAGATGAGTCTATTTTTTTTCCCAGGAAATCTACATCAATCTTTGTGGTGTCAATTCATTCTACCTTCTCTTATGATCACTGCATTTAAACTCTTTTTTCCACTGTCATCTCCAATTGATATTAAAATGGTTAATTCCTTTTATTTGAGCTCAAACTCAGTCCCATCTATCTGAAAGCACCTAGAGGGTTAATTCCATCAACTCCACCTTTAGCTTTCTCCTGTTAAATGGAAAAAAGCTGAAATGTAGAGAAGCTTTCCAATTATAAATCTGCCTTTTAGAAGTACCCACATAAGGTTTATTACTTTCTGTATGCACAAAATGATGTCATCCAAAAATCTAATGAAACCAAATTTCATTATGTCTTTCCATCACTCAATCTTCTCTTGTAAAAGATGTGTCTATGTGTCTCTATTGTCTGAACTATAGCTCTGCAACGCTCTTTGTAACAAGACAAGGTAAGAAGGAAGATGTGAGGGAGATGAAAGCTGACCTTTGCCTGCCACTCCTGAAATTTCCTATCCACTATTATGTAGTGGAAACACAGTCCTCTAACGACCATACAAATGTTAGAGTGATCTCTCTGCCATGCATTTCCACTGCTCTGATGATTTTGGGTTTTTGTTTTTCAGCTACCTCCTGCCCCGGTGAGGACCAGTATGACAGCAGCCTGCTCTTGGTGTCGTGGCAGTGTAGGAAACATGGCCACCGCCGCTGGGACACTCACAGCCATAGCAGAGGGTCCTCCCCCAGGACTCTGTCAAAACACTGCTGGTTTAATGCACTTCAACCATGCATGTCACAGATTCATAGGATGGTTTAGGTTGGAAAGGACCTTAAAGATCACTGAGTTCCAACCCCCCTGCCATGGGCAGGGACACCTCCCAATAGACCAGGTTGCTGAAAGCCCCATCCAGCCTGGCCTTGAACACTTCCAGGGATGGGGCATCCACAACTTCCCTGGGCAATATCTTCCAGTGTCTCACCACCCTCATAGTGAAAATTTTCTTCCTAATACCCAATCTAGATTTACCCTCTTCAGTTTGAAGCCATTACCCCTTGTCCTATGACTACATGCCCTTGTACAAAATCCCTCTCCACTCTTCTTGTGGGTCCCCTTCAGATACTGAAAGGCTGCTATAAGGTCTCCCTGGAGCCTTCTCTTCTCCAGTCTAAACAACCCCAACTCTCCCAGCCTGTCTTCATAGTAGAGGTGCTCCAGTCCTCTGATCATCTTCATGGCCCTTCTCTCTCCAACAGGTCCACATCCTTTTTATGCTGAGGAATCCAAAGCTGGACACAGTACTCCAAAAGCAGTACTGAAAGAGTACATGAAAGAGGAGGGCCAAGCAAATGTCAGTCATATGTGTCTGCACTGGGCTGGAGACACAGCATCTGGTAAGAACTAGAGTATCAGTTAATTTAGATCTATTGCAGTTTTTTCTCCGTCTTGGTCAGTTCATCCATTCGTCTGTCTTAGTTCAAAAGCTCTTTGTCACTGCTCACTTACTGAGTCGGCAAAAACTGTCACACAAATGGGTAATAAATATTCTAATTTAAACAAACTTCTCTATTTTAATGTGGAATTGTATTTGTTGTGTTTGAGATGGCAGAATATTGTATGTCAGGGCATGATCTACAATGTAATTTATAAAATCTGGGAAACAGATTTTTTTTTAAAAACACAACCAAAACCAACCTGATTTCAGCTATATTAATTGAGACAGGTAACATACTTTTGTTTGAATTTATCTCCTTTGGGGTAATACAACTGAAAAACTGTCATAACGAAAGCTTATTTTAGCAATAACATGGGTGATTTGACAGAAATACCAAATATGGTGAAGGGAGTGAATAATTTTATTACCCAGAACTTCTACATTAGAGTGGCATGAAATGAACAGCACATCAACAATGCTAATAGGATTCTAGAAAATTAATCAGTTCTGGGGTATTTATAAAAACTTATTGATAAAGCGAATGTGTATGTGAGAGAACTTACTCATCTGCAGCTCAAATGCTATTCCAAATAAGAATGGACATCTGGGATGGCAGATTACTACAGCAATAAAACAGTTGGTGTAAAAAGTACCAGCTTATTACCAGAATTAGCAATGAAGATGTTTACAGTACGAACAGATGAGTTTGTGTAACAGACCTAGTCATACCATTTGCCGACAGCTAATTTGAAAGAGGCATAAGAGTAACACTTCCAGAGTAGAGAAGTTGCTTTGCTGCCTGGGTAAGGACAGTGGTTTTCAAACCCACGTAGCTATGCAGCAAACACATAAGGTTCTCCAAACCTTTGGAGTGGTCCCTGGCCATGCTGGGGTCTTGCTTGCCCACACACTCTCTGTACAGGGTCTGGGCTTGAAGACAATTGTAGGGTGCGTCTCAAGACAAGGTCACAGCTCTTCCTCCACATCTGATACAACCCTAGTGCCCAGGAGAAGATTTTCCAGGGTCACTTTGGTTTCTCCTGGGACGGAAGTAATGCAAGTGAAGAGGAAACAGTGCACAAGGCCTCTCTATAAGTCAGGACATTTCTTTCATGCTTAGTAAAAAGATGTATGGATTAAAAAGATTAAGCATGAGAGGGAAAGGCTGCCCTAAAGCAGAAAGCTAAATTACCCTTCCTAAAACTCAGAGGGCAGCCATTGTGTGGCAGAACGAAACCATTAATCACACAAGTGTTTTAGCCCAGCTGAAAGAGAGGAAAGGGAGAGCTAATGCTGAATTAGAGCGACTAGTGCAAAACATCTTGGCTGCGTATTTGCATTAAATTTTTTTTGGTTTAAGGTTGAAGAGTGAAGTAATACTCCTACTGCTAGCTTAACACCTGAAAATAGCTTTTTATGTTTTCTCTTTCATTGGCTCTTTTTTTTTCTCCAAATTACAGATCAGAAAGAACTCTATTGCCCAGGTTTCCATTTCTGTTGTACATGGACAAAAGGAGGATGCTGAGTTCGGAAGACCTCCTTAGCATTAGTGCTCATTCGTAGCATCACAAGGGGGCACCGCAATTCTATTAAGTGACTAACCGGCTTTGCTGCTCATCAGGCAATGTCAGATAGCTCATCCTAGCCAAACTACTGGATTAAGCATACAATTTTTGGGAATAATCAATCTGAGAGCTCAAATCCTGTAATCACTGCTGAGTAAAGAATGTTAAAAATGTCATAATATTAAAGCCTAGTTCCACCAAATAATGCAATTCCGCATCCTGGATCCCTTGGAGTCTTTTATCTTCAGTTCTTCTACCACACAGATGATTGCTGCTCAGGAAGCAACCATTTCAGTGGCCTATTTGTTTTCCCTCTGCAAACTCTTCTCATCAAAGACTCCTGAGAGTATCCAGCCTTCCTGAAAACCACCCAATCTGAAACCACCCATGTGGATATACAAAGGGCTATGTGAAAGGTAAGGCATGTTGTGCAGGGTCCTCTCTAGCTCAGGACCAGGCATTCGCTGGTTTAACTTGCAGCACGTTTCTCCTGATTGCTTTGGCTGTGTCTTCAGAGAGTAAGCACCTTTCTACTAAAGATGTTACAGGAGTTCCTTTTGTTGTTGTTGTTCAGAAACAGTTCATCTTAAGGTTGTAGCTATGACCATGGTACCAAAAAAACCTGTGTTTCTGTTTTCTCAAGTCAAAGGTACTTTCAGACTGAGTCTTCAGTGTGTATTTGTATAACAGTCCTGTAAAATACCAAACCTAATTACAGAAGAAGAAATACCAAATAACCTGTCCTTACCTGAGCTGGAATCACCAACGCCATTGGTGATGAATTAAATTGTTTACTCAAACCAGTATCAAGTACTTTTTATATCTTCTCTTGCTCTGAGAAACCAAATCCCTACCAGTAAAATATCGCCCCAACACGATTACAGAATGATTTCACTTTACGCATATGCATCTACACCACAAGCATGTGCAGCCTTACAAGCAATACCTTCAGAACTCAACAGCCATCTTGCAGAAGCTTTGTAACAAAACCAGAGATTTTACAAATACAATCTATACCAAAGAGAATTTCTTTCTTGTTGCTCTGCTTAGCAATTTTGTATCTGAAAGAATACTATCCTCCTGGTAGGCTGACTGGCACCCACCATATTCTGTGACGACCTGTCAATGCGATTTTGCCAGTTTTTCCTGCCTTTTGTCTGCCCTAGCACACTCTGATGCTCTGCACCTGCTGAGCACCTTCTTTCGATACTGTGTGCTCTTCAGAATTTACTGTCAATTTCCTCCATTTTCAACTCATGTACCTTTTCCATAAAAATCTCACAATAATCACATTTCCAAAAGCATTTTTAAGCCAATTCCTGCAGACATTTACTTATGTGAATAAACCGTATTCTGATGAAATAATTCCAGTAATTACTAACAGAGGGATTATGTGCAGAGAAGAAATCTGGACTGTAACATCCCTGGGGAAGGTACCGAGCAAGGTGTGTACCAGCAACTTACCTGTCAAACAGCTCTCCACCTGTGACCAATTCCAGAACAAGACTGATTTCTGTGGGGGTCTCAAATATCTCCTTCAGTTTTATCTGGTGAAGATAACAGAAAGGATTCATCTTGTTTATTTGTCTTCTTGCGGAGCATATCACATGCCTAACATTTTTTTTTTTAGTTATTTTCATACTCCTCATATCTCAGCAACCTCTGTGTAACACAGGAGTTTAAGAAGCTGCTTTCATTAGTGCTTGTCAACACCTGTCTGCCAGCCTTTCAGAGTAACTGAATATAAGACCCTTCACACCATCCAAGGGCGAACACCAACTTCCCCTTCATTTACAGAACTTCTTTTGCATAATTTCTCACTCAACTCTGTCAGAATATCAATAATTTATTTTAAAGTCAAATATAATTCAACAGTCTTCCATAATGAGCTGCTAATGCACTCATGAGGAGAACCTGAAGCTTTAACCCAGGGCTCTCCCAAGTCTATATAGGAGAACCACAACAGTCATCTCTCAGGACAGAAAGAACTTAAAAAAACCCAAAGGAACAATTGCGGAGTGAAAGAACAAGGCTAAACTTACAATGTTTGGATGCGAAAGGCGAAGCAGAACTCCAATTTCTGTGCGGACAATTTTCTTGTCTACCTGGTTAAAAGTGGGAAGGAAAAAAGTAAAAAAATTATTTCTACATTCACCATAGAAACTTCCAGCTGTATCACAGGAAAATATGTATAAACAGCATTTCTAGATCTCCTAGGAGAATAAGTTGATACAAGACACACAATCCAAACATACTGTAAGGAGAGCTTTCCTGTCACATGAGACAGCTACTATAAGAGAAAAACATCTGCATCTAGGAGGATGACTACAAATGTATATGTAAGTCACACAAGAAGTAGAATATAGGCAAGACATCTGAAAAAGGTGCAAAAATTCCGATTTTTCCTCAAGTTCTGCCCTTGTCTATCGCTACTTATGTCGATTCAGTTTATGCCAGGATAGCTTCCTATTGACACACTGTTCAGCAGCTGTACTGGGAAAAGGTTTCTGGACATGGGATGTGTGCATCAAAGTAGTGCTGTTTCCAAGCTGATGGCACAGATGACATCAAGCAGACCATTCTGAGGAGGGTTGTGTGTTTTGTTTTTTTTTTTTTTAGTGGAGGCTTTTCTATCAAACGCAGAGTTTGGTTTTGATTTTTGTTTTTTGCATCACGTGGGAAATGAACAGTCATAACACATAAACCTTCAAAACAGACATAAAACTACCTTCAAATTCTTAGTGAGGAAGACACATGCTTAAAAAATGATCTCTTTCTTTATCACCTGAAAGAAGAGATGTACTTTTCAGCATTTTATTTTTTCCAGTGACAACAAAACGCAAGTATCAGTCACACTGAGAACTACAGGATAAGCAGAATTTGATTCTCCGCTTGTGTCAATCAGGAATGATTCCAGGTTAGTAATGCCACAGTGCTCTGACAGTGGTATAAATGAGTGGAGAACTAGAGCCCTTAGGGATTTTTTGAAACTCATTGACATTTAACCTCTTTTCGTGGCTCTGCCAGAAAGCAAAATGAAAGAAAGAAAAAACCCCAATTTTGGACAGATTCAGTGCATGCGAGAAGCAACAGAAAGCAAAAATCAAAGAGGAATGAAATATTCCATTACCTGAACACCTAACTGGAGGTGAAGAACATGGTCAATAACTAAATCTCCACAGGTAAATGGCTGCTCTGGAATCAAACATAGGACCCACTAAGCTCTGTGACCATCACACACTTCCTAAACTTCATGGCTTTTTATTCCAAATGCAAGTGTTTTCTCCTTGCTCTTGCCTGCTACATAAATACTGAGAAGCAGGTTTGAAGAATGGTCTCCTGGGCAGCTTTCCTAAAATGCTGTGAGGACCAGCCTGCAGTCTTGCTCAGTTTCAACATCCCTTGCATCAGTGCTGTTTTTCAGCTCTGGGTTAGTTATGTGAGTGCAAACACACAGCCAGGGGCTCCAAAGCTCACTGCTGGGTAGCAAGGGGCTCTTGATTCAGAGAGTAATACACATCTGGACTGTTTTCGTATGATTTGCACCTTGGACAGGATCAGAAAAAATAATGTACAATATTGCATGGACAGGCATTTCCCCAGGAGAGTGGTTTAGACTGAGCAATTTACCTTATCCAAAAAGAACCACTACAAACTGAACAACCTACAGTTTGTTTTCTGCAGTTTTGAAAATGTTTGCACGTCAGGCATGCCTGGCAACTAGCACGAAAGAGGCTGTCCAAACTCTAAAGATGCTTCCTTTTGGCACTGAGTAGTGACAACCGAGAAACTACAGAGGCCTCCTCTCATCTTGCAGGTGGCAACAAATTAGGGGAAAAAGTGAACTGAGACTCGGTTTCAGGTTCTTGTTTTCCTAGACATTTACTCTGCAACCATAGGCAAGTCCCTCTACAATCCAGTTCCTGACCTGACACAAAACAGTAGACTTTCATCGTATTTCCTCAGGTGGTGGTATGAGGAAAACATACTTAAAAATTCAAGATGCTAAGATGCAGTGGCAAATATGCCACAGAGAAGCACTCAGGAGTGTTCCATATTTATAAGCATCCTGGAAAATGGCTATTGGGGTAGATTTTACAACAGAAACCTGCATGTATAAGAATTGTTGCAGAGTAAAAGCAGCAGCATATATAGTCATGACATTTTATTACAGACACCCTGTTTTATCACTTTTATTTTCGTACCTTCTCCTACACTAAATATAGAGGTACATCAACATTTATCTTGTTTCACCTCCTTCCAACAAAATGTACTTACTATCAGGCCCAAACCTATTTTTAGTTTGGGCAGGATTATCAGTAATTCAACTACTTATATTCCTGACAGAAATTATTTGACAGGATGACAGTCAGGCATTTCGCTCTATAGTGTATGTTGCTAGAGTAACAAATTTTAAAACTCAGATAATTTACCCAGAATATCCAATTGCCACAAGTGTTTGGGCAAATTAAGTATGTTTGGCTCCACAGTACGCTTTAGTAAGCAAACCAGGAGCTGTGACTATAGCACAGGTCAGCATCTGCACGCTGGCTTTAATCTAACTGGAAAAAGTACTTACAGCAGCAAAGATACAGAAACTTGAAGTTGGGAGCAACAGGCAGTACAAGAACCCAGTGTGCTGAACTGAAACCTCTGTCTGTACTGCAGAAGGATGCACGGCTTTGCGGTGTTACCCGAGGTCACTAGACAAGTGGCTGTGTGTTGTGTGCACTTAAAACTGAAATCATATGTCTTGTTTACGGACAGACAGGCATAAGATTAACAGAACATTTCACACAACCAAGGCCCATGAGGTTAGGACAGCATTTGCAAGTGTGGGTGAATGAAATTATCCGCCCCTTAATTTATATTAAAGCATTTACATAAACAAGGTAATTATTTCTAGTACTTTGCCCCTCCAGTTATTTAATTTCTCTAGAATTAGGGATGTATCTATTTTGTAGACATGTCTGCACAAACACTGTGTCATTGAAATTTGATACTGGTCATGCAGTGGAGTAGCACTAGGTCTATAATCAGTCTATTTGTGAGTTACACATTTCAGATTATTTTGACAAAGGAAAGGGCTGGAAAAATCCTTAATGAAAGCTGAGTTCCTTCCATCTGAGATGGTACGGTGGTGTGATGCTACAAACCCCTGAGATATGAAAGTGTTGCCTCTATTCAAGTCAAATGAAATGAGATAAAACTGTCACCGTAAAAAGACTAATCCAACTGCTGCCCTGCAATATGGTACACCATCCTGAAAACACGTGGCCAACAGATGTACAGACCCCTCAAACTTAGTAGAGAGCAAGTAGTAGAGCACATTCCTCATCCTGCAAGTCCAATCTCTGCTGCCCTCCTTCCCCAGGGCACTGTGGACATGGAGAAGCACATCTGGTGAGGTATGCGACCACCATGCATGTTGGGTGGCAATACTGTGCCCAGGCAAGTGTATGCAAACAGCTCTCAAGGAGCTTCACAGCACTACCCACCTCAGGGAGAATGTTCATCCCAGCTCTGCACAGCTGCTTATTTAATATCCCACTTACTGACTCACATGAACATCTCTAATTTGAGCAAAGAATGCTTTATTGAACCAACAGGTCAGGCTCTGAGCATGTATTTCTCTGCGTTTAGAGGGAGCATGCTGCAAATCATTATTGGCTTGCTACCACACTCTATTAAAAAGTGCTTCCAAGGAACAACTTTTATGTTCATCTCAGCTAAAGTAACTGCTCTGCAGCCTAACCCTTTCTGTATTTTATGAAGTGAATTGCTAATTACGATTTATAACTTTGCCATTATTTTGTCTTCTCACAGTTAATCTGAAATATTAAAACCTAGGCAGATACAAACTACCTGCAAGCAGAGCTGCCAATTCCCTACTAGTCTAAAAGGTCTGTTCCCAATTGTCACAACTACACACAGGGCCGCTGGATTAATCAGGTCCTCTTAAAAGGTTTCAAGAAAAAAGGAAATTAGCTTGAATTTTAAGCTTGAATTTATATAAATCTTCACAAGAAGAAGATTAAAAGTACATATTTTCTATACAGTTTTAGGTTTTGCTTTTTAATTTCAGAATGTCCTGGGTAGCAGGAATTCCAGTTTCTGCCTAGCTGCAACATAGAATTTCTTCTCAGAAAGTCTGTTAGTCAAGACTTCAAGACTCTCTAAAGAAGCCTTCTGAACGTGCTCTTCCATCTTTGCAAAGCTGGGTAGTGCCACTGAAATCATGCATCTGAACTGGTCTACATATCAATACAAGATACGCATGTCAGTCTTCACCGCAAGTGATAAAGAGGTCTTGGGGGATACAAAAAGTGATATGGCAGAAAAATCGCAGAACAAATGAAAATAGATGCTTTGTGACCCAGTCTATCTCTCTGAGTTATTCTGGCGCAATTCAGTAGCCACCACAGCAGTGGACAGTGGGTAAAAGCAGAATCTAAAAAAGCTGACCCTTCTGAATGAAAGGATACTTCTTTGTTCCAACTAGGGCATTTATTTAATAGCTGCTTCAGGTAATTTGATTCTTTGCATGACCTTTTTTTTTTTTTCAAAATGAAAATAAAGAGTTTCTCAAGTAAAGAATTCCTCCTATGTTTTAGGGCTGTTCTTGCTGGGACATTGCTTGACCTTCTCAGCAAGGTCAGCAGCTCCCTCTTTGTAAGGGACCAACTTTGTACTCCCAATGGACCAATATAATCTTTTTTATTCTTTTTTTTTTTTTAAAAAAAAAAAAAAAGAAGGTTCAAAATAATCTTTTTTGTGTTTTAAGCTTAGCAGACTATTCTGTCTCTATCTCCATTCAGGCTGAACATGAGGTCCCTGAAGAACACATCAAACAATACAATAAAGCACAGCAGTAATTGCACAGCCCTGCGGTGTCTTCCATAAACTCAGCAGGGAGTTTTCACTTTGTAAGTTACTGAGAATTTTTATTTTGAGCCTCCATAAGTAAACTTGTATTACTATGCTAAGAAAATAGACTATTCATTATTAGAGCAGTTTTCTATACACACGTCCACACTTCCAATTTGCAGCTATAATTCTTCAATTGATGTATACTCTTCAGGCTGAAGACACTCCAGCGTGGCAT